CAATTCCTATTGTTAAATGCTATTATAACTTATTCTATTTGTTGTGTAAGCAAACCTCTAGTAAAGACCAAGTGCTGAAACTCCCACCTACTCAGGATGCCATGCTTTTCCTCCAAAGAGCCAGAATCCAGAGCATGAAATACACTTAACTGCAAACTACCACATACAATCTCAAGCATGGCACACTTCTGATAGGAGTTAACAGTTTGTCCTCTGATAGCAGCTTTGGTGCATTACTAAGTACCAAGACCCAGAAGCCAACAGCTTGACACCAATCATCTCCCTAGGAATTAGCATCAAAAGACACTGTTGTAATTCCTCACCTTCATCACCCTCCACAAACTTGGGACCTGTGAACTCCACCTAAAGACCACATGCTGGAAGAGAGCAGCACTGCCACAGATCAGTAATTAACAGTTGCACAAACACTGTCCTTTCAGTGAAACAAAACTTTCTGACAACAGTCAAAAACCTCTTCCATGAACTGTCACACAAATCCTGTCATTTACTACATTAAGTGAAAACAGGAAAGGCACACACCATTAGAAAGAATCCATTAGAGTAACCTCCTACTGCCCTGTCATTCTCAAAACTCCATTTTAAACATAATGCCTCCTGCAAGACAAATTGTCCAAATTAGGACTTTTCAAACTTCCAGTCTGAGTTTATTCATAGAAAACTTACTTTTCCTCTCACTGTTTATGCACTTGATGTATTTATAGCTTTTTTTTTTAATTAGTTTGTATTACGGATGTGTCTTTAATACAGTCTCCTATACACTACAAACATGTATGTGAAGTTTCAGAGGTTCACTACACCAGAAAACTGGACAAGTTTGCATTTATCAATTCAAAAAAGTAACTGAAATATGGGATGCTAAGATCCGAGGCACTAACTTTTAACCATGTGACTGGACTGGAAAGAGCATCTTAGAGGTATTAGGCAAAAAAACAATCTGCAAGACATGGAAGGAATGAGGGCCTACAGATTTTGCTTGAGAACAATTATTTGACCAGTTCACTGAGTATTTGTTAAAGACGCAAAATGAATCAAGGTTGTTCTAGTGAAGCATTCATGAGGCCATTCCTTACCCTATGGACAGTCTTTCTCATTGTGGAAGACTTAACAAAACCTCACAGCAGAAACAGTTTATTTAGAACTTCCTTTACATCTGCTATGCTTGCACTGAGTGTGTTCAGACTTTATGAAGATTAAGACTTTTAAAGTTTTTAATAGCAGACTTAACTATTCAACAGCTTCCTCTAGCCTACTCACTCATCCATCACCACAGATCCACAAGTGCACAAATACTGCTGAGTTCAGAACCATACACCAGAGAAGCGTTCTTCCTAGCCTTTTAACCTTAACAAGGTTAAAAAACAATTACTGCTACAGTTTCACCAATCCTAGAAGTAGAAAATAATTTCTAAGCTTTTATGCTTAAATAAAAAGGGTAAGACCAATTTTGCTACCATCACCTCTAGTAATAGCTAGATAGTCTTATTCTACCAAGTCACTGTCAACTGCTTATTCTGGAATTAATTCTAAAAAGCAAACATGTTTCTGCAACATGATTGTCAACTGCATCGTTATTATTTCTGACATAAGAACATATTAACCGAAGGTATTACCATGTAGTAATAAAGCAGACCTTGATACATTTTCTGAAAAGATTTTTCAAGCTCTTACCTTCCTTATCTTCTCATTAAGACCTTGTTTGACAGACAAAACCACTCTCCCTTCCCATGGCACCCTCCCAACTTGTTTCACTGTCATTCTTTTCTTTAAAACCTTCCATTGGCTTCTACTCCTGCACCACATGGAGTTCAACCTTCTTGATTTCAAGGCAACCATATGCACCCCTAGTTATATGCTGTTGATAACCTCTAGACCAGTCCATAAACTGTCAGCTTCCATATCATCTTTGTTTGCCTTTCGCTGTGAGCTTCTGCTTTTAGTACATATTGGCTGAACAGCTTTGAGACAAATCATCTTCATAGCAAAAATCCACTAAATTATCTGTTTCTGTCAAAATGTCCAGGAATCAACTGTGTTCTCCTTTAGAATAAGTATTAGAATTTGTTGCAACATTCCTTCATTTCCCTGCTCTACAGGCTTCTTAGTAAAACTTTAATTTGACCAATTGACTCATTTCAATTTATTTTGAACTAGAACACTCATTTGTATTTCATGGCAGATTTTACATAGCCCAGATAGTTTATATATTAGGGAGGAATTATATTTGAATACTAGATCTCTGCAATTACTCATAATTATTCAGAAGCAATAAAAACATGGCACCAACAAGCTTGCCAAGTATTACTTTAATACCCCACTCAATTTTGCTTTTCATCAAGGCCACAGAAAGAAAAGGGGACTTGTGTGACATCTCTCAGAAGTGAGATTTTCACAGGGCCAGGCTTTTAAGCACTTCTGAAAGAAAATTAAGATCCAAGTACACACTAGGAAGTCAGAAGACAACAAAACATGGAACCATAGCTTTTGTTGTATTTGTCCCCCTACTTTCTTCCATCTCATCTTTTGACAGACTGCAATTGGATTAAATATCACTGACAACTGCTGTACCTTTTTGCTCTACATACTCCTACTTTCAAGTTTTTTGGTGTTAAAGATGTGATTAAGTATGGCTACTGCTGTCCACGACAGCTATTTTTGGATTTTCATCCAATTCCCGTTGGACTGGCATCTTTTACTGTTGACGCACTTGCAATAGACAGAAGCCAAGAAGCAGCTGCTAGAGAAACAGAACCCTCTTCTCACATTTGATCAGGACTGGGGCACACATGCTTGGCAGGAGTAACATGTGAATGCTTACTGTAAATTGAGGAAAGCCCAGTCTATTATTGTCATATGTATCTCTCTGAGCCTGAATTCACAGATTAGTTAACCCTCTACCCTCATTTACTATAGCTGCTTTAAAACCCTGAAAAAATCAGAAAGTTAAAAATAGATCTTTCTCTACAAAAATATCTGGAAATCCTTAACATTTTTTCCCGAGCCTTCTGAAGCAATTAATGGGAACAACTGCTTGGACACTTTTTTTTTAGTATAAAGTATTTCAGGAAAACTGTGTCGTGCTTAAAACTCACTTATTCCTCCCCTCCTCAAAAATTCTAGGTCATCTTAGGCCTCAAAGCTAAGGTTTTACATTTTAACTAGTATTTGTTTTCACATCAGGTTGACTGTCTCTACTTGATCCTTCAGTGACATATTAAACAGAAAGTATCAATCATTCCAGTGGCAAGTTGCTAATGTCACATTTAAGAACGCTGGGAGAACAGCCTACACCATACCAGATACTGTCTCCTTTTGCAAAAAAATTCATATTCCCAACAACATAAGAAGCATCAGTTTCTTTGACAAAAGCAGGGCATCTGAAAACAGACATCTTCCAGGCTAATGAAAGTTTTAATATATAGCTCCAATATCAACAGATTTGCTCCAATATATAGCTCCAATATCAACAGATATTATATGCTTTACAGCTCAGTGGTTGCTTGTCATGAGAAGGACCTAAAATTAACTCTACAAAAAGCCTGACACTTAAGATACAATTTTTTAAAAGGAAATAATACATGGGCCTACAGTAAACTTAACCTCTGAAGTGACAATTCATACATTCATATCCCATATAATGAATCATAATGTCAAATTTTACTTGGTTTTATTGCTTAGAATGTAAATCCATCCAGCAACTTACTGTGCTAATTACTGAAGTATTCTGTGATTATTTTTTTTCCTCCAAAGAAAACAGTCTTTAAACAGATAAATTAGTGAGATACAAAATGCAGTGTCGAGATTAACATCTGAAAGTCTTACAAAATAATTAGTAAGCTTTGTCACCTTTCAGGCAAAATCGTTTCTATTTTAAAGAAGTTCCGGAATATAAAATACATTCTCTTAAAATACTAAAGAAAGGATTCCCCATCACTTTGTACGCTGTAGTTTTCTCATCAAGACATGTTCGGAAAAGAGACTGTTTTCTTTGTATTCCCAATTAAGGTAGTCACACACAGGATATTTTTACTAATTGTTTACATAAGTATAGCCAAACACCTGCAAGTCCTCCTTTAATCACATGCCCATAATTCTGTCTATTAAGACCACTAATTAAAATACGAATTACAATTTAGTTAGTGAACCAAATACAAATTTCCTCATTTATCTAAATACAGACCAAACTTGATTCTGACTGATGCAAGGGTTGAGCTTCTAAACTAACCCCGAAGAATCAGAAAATAAAGCACATATCTGGAAAAGAAAATTAATCATTGCTGTTCACATAATAATTATGTTGCATATAAAGACATAGATACTAAGGTCACATTTAGAAACATTTTTCTTGTAGAGGGCTTTTGAGCTACTAAGATTTAGCTTTTTGCTGCCTTCACACTGTAAAACCAGTTCACTCCGGGACCAAGACGACAGATAAAAAATGTTTTGAAGTTTCCCCTTCCCTCCATATAGTGAGGTACACAGAGAACATCACACACAATAAAACTTTTATCAGAACTACTACCAAATCCATCAAGTTAAACACAGTCAGCATTTATTTCTAAAAAAAAAAATCTGATTGATTTAGGTACCTCACTTCTAGCACCTGAAAAATTCTAGCCCAGGTTCCCAACTGTTAAATTTAACAGGAAATGTGTAACAAGTGGTCTTAGTTTGAAAAGATAGACAATTTAAGAAAGTATAGTTCCAGCCATCCAGCAACAAATATTCACTGTAACTTTTAACAATAAATAGTATCAACAGTCTTTAGGCACAGTTAGGAAAGTCCTCCGGCAAATGCATATGCACTTCCACTATTGATCAGGGATCTGTTTCTATTCTAGCAGAGCTACCTTAGCTACATATAGACATGGGCCTTTTTAAAAGGTGTCATATTCTTTATGACCTTCCACAAAACAACTGTAGAATAAATGCATATAGCGGAACCGAAATTCTCTTCAGTTTTAGGAATCACAAAGCAAGCATTGCTGCTAGAGATCTTTATTTTCCTTTAACAAAATACACAAAGGCACAAAATTCACTTATATCTTGTCATTATTGTACAGGTATAAATAGTGCTTTGTATTCAAGTACAATCAAGTGCAGAGCCTTTCTATATTTTATGTAAACACAAAACAGTTTTGTATGTACGTGCCTCTGGTTCATCTGCAATGTAAATACCAAAGCAGATGCCATTTATCTGAGTGCCATTTAAACTGAATTCTGTCAAAACTTAGACAATGAATAACATTAACACCACTGTAATGACACTTCCATATGCTTAAGTCAAATGTCAGATGACACTTCAGCTTGTAAACATCTGTGTATTTAAAATGTACTCAATTCATTTTAACAGGGAAGCATTAAAAAGTATCTTAAGTTCACTAGACCAAACTTACTAGGGCAGTTGCTGCCAGTAATTGTTCTTTATGTGTGACAGCTAAAGAGATGTCAAATTATAGGTCACCCTTAGAAAAGCTTATACATCTACATTTTTTTAATATGCAAACTGAACAATGGCTACAACTGTTAGACTTCAACCCACTATACATTCTGTGTGTTAACTTAAAGACACATGCTTAATTTACAATACTCACTTTTACACATAGCTTTGACATACTGTGGCAGTTGAGGCAGTTTAAGCTCAAGCGAGATTTTTAAGTTGTACCATTAAAAAAAGCTCACCTGAATAGTAACAACAGGCATGAACAAAGCTAAAAACTAGCTACAGAAGGCACTTGAGTACTTTATTCTGCTTTCCCTAAAGATTCTTCACTTTGTTCAGCTGAAATAGACTCCGAGATAGACTCTTCAGATGTTGAAATGTTTTCTGCTTCTTTTTCAACTTCTTCAGCTATCTTATCATTTAGCTGCTCAGGACTTGGTGCTTTATCATCTGCTTCATTTGTCTCAATCTGGGCCATGTCTTCTTCAGATTCTGTGAAATAAAAATTATAAAATAACCATTTCAAGAAATTAAGGAGGTAGCTAATATTCTTAAAAAGCAAAGAAAATTTTGCAATCACACACAGGTTTTGAGTAGTCACCACATGAAGTTCTCAACTGCTAAAACCTCTTATTTTTCTAACAAGAAAGTCACAGGTAAACCTGTAAAATCTAAGAAAAAATACTACAAAAAAGAGTTCAGATCCCACTATAAAATTATTATGTATTATTTGTATATGTTCACCCTCAGTAGAATCTTTCGAACCTTGTCCATTAATGTGACAGTGTCAGAAATAAGACATGATGGTAATTCAGCTTTAGCTTGCTAATGGAAGTTTTACCAACTGTATAGCTTTTTCTGTAAGAGTTCAATCTGTACACAGAATATAAACACTATCTGGTAGATACTACTTTAAATGTAAGGAGCCAGATAATCAGAAAAAAAGATTATTTAGTTCTCATCTCAAAACAGCCAGAGAATATTACTGTGTATTGTCAATCTTCCTACAGGAATTGTAGGAAGGATACACAGAAGTATCTTTACTCTCAATCTGGAAAGGGAGTTTCTTTCATAATAGGCATATTTTGAAGATCGGTCAAAAGTATTTATCATAAGTACTACCTCTGAAGTAGTAAATTCTAGCTTCACAACAGTATTTCAGTAGCATATGAGAAATACAAGATAGTCACATTTTGAAGTAAGCATAAGCACTGAAAAACTAAACATTAAGTGTTACACTAAATGACACAAAGGTACTGTAGAATGATACTACTCATGGCGATTTATTTATTGACTAGTATTAGGCATACTGTGAAGGCAAACAGTTTGCAAAACTGATGCAAAGTTACAGCTCAAAAATGTTAACCTTATCAAATGTTTGTAACTTATTTATCAAAACATGTTGGGTGTCTGAACGTAAGCAGACTGCTTCAGGTTGCTATTTCACAGAATCAAGCAGGGCTGAAAGTTTTAGAACCACTGCTCTGGCTTCTTGGGTCACGACTGACAAGAGTAGCTGCTGCATACCCTTATCCAGCAGACCTGGTAAAACTGCGATCTGTCATCAAGAACTTGAGACCCCTCTTCCCACACAGAGCTCCATATAGCCTATTCCAGACTCCAGACTGTTCAGTGCAGCCCAGCGTCTCCATTTCTTCCCCTGACTTGATCTTCCATCTTAGCAAGTTTGCAAACAACTTACCTCCTGATTCAGCTTCCTTCCCTGCTTTCTCAATCACACACTACTCAACACCTGCCCTGGCTTCTTGTTCCAAAATTTCTCTGGAGCCATCTGTCAGATGCTCAATCCTCCTATTTCTGTCCAAGCAAATTAATGTTCCCAGTTTCTTTCCAGACTATCCCACTCTCCCTTCCTGCTTTTCAATTTCCATCTTGATCCCATCCCAGCCTGTGCTCAATCTTTATCTCCCAACTGTCAGTTTTCTTTGTCTCATCTCTGCATTTTTTCTTCAGTCTTAAATTCTATGAATAAGTTTGTGCCTTTTCCTGCTACAGTCCCTCCACACTTGAGTTACATTCCTTCTTTAAATCTGCTGCTCAGGCGCCAAGTCAAAGGAAGTACAGGATGTGAAGACACAACTCCACGCCCTCCCAAAAATCATTTGTAGCATAGCCCAACCATTACTTATTTACAGAGTTTCAGTCCTGCAGTCCTCAACTGAATGATGCTTAGCACTCTGCAGAAGTGACTCGTTCTTAAATCTTATTAAGGTAAAGATACTATTCATTCAGTCTGATCAGGAGGATGCCATGCATCAACAACATGTTTAAGGACAGTCCCAAGGACAATCAGCCACTAGTAGAATCAAGCAGAAGCTTCTAATGAAAAGGAGAAAACCTGATCGAATGCATGTCCTAACTATCTGTATTCAAAGCAACAGGAGAAGGATGCTGCTTTCATTTTTATATTCTGCTAAAAGGTATGGAGACTCTTCGTTAAGAAAAAAAACTGTCAGGTATTATATTACTTTTCCTTTCATCTTGCTCTTGATGAAGTTTCATTAAACTCTTAAAACTCTAACATATACAGTTAAAAAATTTTCATGGAAATTTCTGGTCTAATAATTAAGTCTGACAAGGTTACAAGCAACTAAAGAGTACGTCCTTTACGTAAGTATTCAGGGCAACCACAGTAAGTGGTGCTACTAAGTCCAACTATAAACATAACCAACCTTCATTAAACATATACAGTGATTTCATTTTAAATACACCAATTAATTGAAAGCCTGCCTAAAGTCAACTTGATCTCAGTATTGCATGATTTAAGTCATTGTAAGAGCAGTAGCTAACAAGAGACCACTCTATGAACTTTAAAAGATGACAAAAGAATATTAAATGTCCTTGATGTTTAACACTTAATCCATGATTTAACTGAAGAATACAGCTACACATACATGAATTCAACAGCAAACAGCCCTATGCTGGCCTGAGGCAAGTTTAAAGAGCTGTATCAGTGCAACTTTAAAAAGCCTGCTCCTCGCTCCAACAGTCCATTTCCCCCCTCCAAAACTCCTGCTGAATGCTTAGTACTTAGAAAGCAGATACATATGTACTTCATTTTAAGTAGTCAGTTACCCCTCTTCTTGCAGAGAATATTTTACTGCATAAGCAGTTAAATCACAATGCTATATCACTATTAAAGTAGAACATGTGTGTACCATGCAGAAATTGACAAAACATGGTATAAAATGATTACACTAAAATATAGCCACTTTACTTATACTTTCAAGACTTTGGGGACAAGTTTTCTTCACTACTGCAGCTTGCCATCAGGACAGACCTTCACACAGTGCTGCATGTCTCAAATATCTTTAAGGAACACGTGCTTCAGAGTGGTCTGCGTTCATGGCTTTGATATCATAGAGAGCTATTTGTGAAGCCTTCAAAAATGCCAAATAACAGCAGAGCATTTGATTCCCTGTACCCATTATGTCCTACCAAAAAGGCAAGTTACACTGTTCAAAATGAATTGTGGTAGACTGGAAATATAATACATTTTTAAACCAAAAGAACTTGTTGACAAGTCATTAAACTCCAGGTGAGTTGACCCACATCTACTTGAGAAATCAATTAATTCTAGCCATTAGCTGAACTAAGGAAAGAGCACAGAAGGCATAAACTCACATCTCTGAAAAGGAAACAACGGCTTACAAAAAACATAGTGTGTGGTCATGATGTCCTATGAAAGCAGAGCATATCTGGTAAAATGGCAAGCCAAATCTCTGAAACAGAAAATGTCCTCAGTCCAGTTCTTTTAATACAAAAAACCCGAACACTGAACTCAGACCATTTAGACCAGAACAAATACCCAAGCTTATTTCTTAGTCCTTTGCCCTTAACCAGCTTTATGCCTAGACAAAGCTTCTGCACCATCTGTAACACTTGCCCAGAGCCAAGTTCTACTTTTGGTAGAACTTGTAAATAAGCACACACTTGAAGCAGCATTATTTCTGGAGGACAGCATTACTGTGAACCCTTCTGTTGAACAAACCAAGTTTCTGTATCTGCCTTTTAAGTGGAAGTCCTTTCAAACTAAGTAGCAGTTGCTGTATTCCAAGAATCCTTAGAAGTGACAGAGCATTAAATCATTATAAAATATTTCATCAAGATGGTCAAGGAATTCCATAAAAATCTGGAGACAACACAGGAAACTGTCTCCATAAAGTGCTGATCACCATGGTGAAATCTGAAGTTCAAAGGCATCTAACAAAGACCTCTGAACATCAGCACCAGATATTCACCACAAAACGTTGCCACAGTCAAGTTCTGTATCAACCTTAAAAACACTTTTAAATGCTAAACCTGAATCAAGAACACAGTGTAACAGTACCAAATACAGGCAAGGTAAAAATTAATAAAGATGATAAAAGTGGTTCCTGTTGGCTTTTTCAACAGGATTCAAACATTAATAGTTTTAGGAGAAATACATAAGAGAACCAACTAGCCTTTGATGACAAAAAAAATGAGTCATTTAATAAAAAGGTAAGAAAAGAACTGAAGCAAATTGCTTTCTTCTGGTACAAAAATCTCCCAAATTACTCTGCTGAACAGGGAAGCAGGCCATTTATGCCAGTAATCTGCATCAGATTGACAGTTGATAACTCCATACTTCCAGAGGATTAAAAAAATCCAAGGTTCAGTGCCAACAGCACTCCCCATAACCATTCTTCAGATCTCTTATCCACAGGAGTCGCATGTAACATGTTTGTCACTGCATGAGCACACAACTGAAAAAGATTCAGCTTCATGCTCTACTCATTAGTAGAAGTAGCTCACTAGTAAAAAAAAAAGATTTATAACACTTCTGTATCACATTAAGTTGCAGTTTCTTCAAGCTATACAGCTACAGTTTAAATGAGTTACTGAAGAGTTGGATCTCCCAATGTTGTCAACGTTGTGCGCCAAGTGTGAAGATATTCTCTATTCCTGCTATGACAGCAGCTATATTACTGTAGCGAACAAAAGCCTTCCCCAGATCTACACCTCAATGATAGCTTCATACCTTAAACTTACAATCAAGGAATATGTTCATTTATTAACAAAGCCCAACTGCCTGTAAGCAGTTATGTTTCAAATTAAGGTTCTGATGGAAAAAGTGATTTACTGAAAATTATATTTTCTCATTCATAAGAGATTACTTCGTGGCAAGTCACAGGTAGTTAATGCACAGTGACAAACTGATAGGGTAGCACTGGCCTCTTCTACATCAACAAGACATTTCTCAGATATTAGTTACGTAAAATATTAAGACATACTCTTTGTGGCTGCTTAGTAATTATCGAAACAAAGGTTTCTATTACCTTGAAGCTGAAATATTCAGAAAAGATCAGAAATTTAAGCTAGATAAAACTAAGAGTCAGTATACTGTTACTTATTGTCCCTTCTAAAAAATTTCACCAAACACTACCTAGCAGAAAGAGAACCAGAGAACAAACCCCAAGTAGTCTCTTGTCATTTTTAAATAAGGCAACACATTGATACAAGACCACACTAACAAAACCCAAATAATTTTCAATATTAAAGATAGATTGGTAAAATCACATTTACTGCAATAAAAACATCCTCTTTTTTACCCTGAAATACTTAATAAAATTCTGCTCTCAAAAAAGCAAGTTATTTTGTAGAATTGTCACCCCTGCATCTCAAGCGCCTGATGAAAATCTCACACTAATTCTTAAGGTTTTATATTTTTTACAACATCTATAAACTGACTCAGCACCTCAGACCCATTAACAGCACAGTTTGATAAACATTTCCTTCAATGACACCACCAGCTTAATCAGCACGCCCCTCTCCCAAAACCTCTAAGAACCTGCAGTTATGGACAATGCTCAGAAGCCCTCAAGACACACACCTCCCAAGAGCTCAATATCTATTTTAAAGGCTTCTCCATTTGATTCTCAGAGGAAAATAAATAGAGTTTTGAAGATCCTGGTAATAAATTATGTCTTTTCCATAAGAATCTTCCAACTTTAAAAGTAATCAAGAAGCTACCAACCTACCCTCCATTCACTGAAAACATGACTAGAGCATTTGAGGACAAAGATGACATTCACATTGTCTTCACTTGATGCAGCTGATTTCAGTCTTCCTGAAATACTTATTAGTTGTCTTAATACTACTTTTAATGAAGAGCACTGTGGCACAAGAAACAAAACCAAGTTTCCCTCTTAATGCACCTGCAGACCACACCCAAAACCAGCTACAGTTGTGTATTGCTACTGCTTCCCTACAAGTCTCACGCAGTCTTCTCATGACAAAAAGTAAAGACCAGCACCATTTTGTATTCCCTGTTAAAGATAATTAAGCAGAAACGTTCCTTCTGTTACACTCTTGACAGTTTCCCACAGTTTCCAGCCTGAATCTCAGGGCTGTACACTATTCAATAGCTTCCCCCATGATCCCTGTTCAAACAACTACTCAATAGCACATCTAACTGGAGATTCTCTGGTTTTAAATTATAATTTCTGGAGACTTTTAAACACTGAATATCTTCCTGTTGGCTGCACACCAGATGCCTACTGTATCTGCAGACTATAAAATGTCTCAAAAGGAACTACGTTAAATTAAAATTGACAATTTGTCTTTGAACTCCCTGAAATTAAACAAGGCAGTTTTACTAGATTTTCCTGCCCTGAGGAAAACAGCAAAAGGAACAAAGGCAGAAATTCCAACACACCTCAATCAAATGACCTGCTGAACACAGTGAAAGTTAACCACTTCGGGACATATTCCCTTCTTAATCGTTGCTGTAATTTACAGTGCTACCTGTTTATCAGTGAAAAATTCTCTTATGCTATCATTTGCATGAGACATATTGCCTAATATGAAGAAATTTTACGGTACAGGATAGAAGACAATAGTATCAACAAGCTAAGCTAAAAGCAAGCACAAGAAGAACTGAAAAAAATTATAAGCTGCACCCACTACAAAGTCAAGATAGGCTACACTATTACAGCTGGAAGGGACCAACAACAATTATCTACTCCAATTGCCCAACCAATTCAGGGTTGACCAAAAGTTAAAAGCATTTTAAGGGCACTGTCCAAAAAAACACTGACAGGCTTGGGGCATTGACCACTTTCTTATGAAGCCTGTTCCCGTGTCCAAGTTCTTCAGTTCTTACTTTTATAAAAAACTTCATCTAAACAGAGCTAGATGAGAGGGGAGGATTTCATTAAACATTACAAAAATAGCAGACTTCATGAGATTAGCACATACCTTCTATCTGTTGAGTCTCACAGGGCTTTCTCTCTTGAGGTTCTAGAGGCTCAGTTTCAGATCGCAGTTCTGTAGATTGTTTTTTTTCAAAACTGAAGTCTGGAAGTCGTGGGGCCTGAGGTCTAGTCTTTCTTGCAGGATTCAAGAAAAAGCAGTAGGCACACCTAAATGCTACACAAAAGCACAACCAATAAGTAGCCTCACTAATTAATTGCACATTTCACCTTTATTCCTACACTACATTCTGACTGTCCAAAATACTAAAACCGAAGAATTAAGTGACTAATCAGTACCTGAGAGTACCTCCATCAAATTTACCCAACTTGTTCCATATATCTCCATTTTTAACTTCAGCATAGTTTGCTTCCTAAAAACCTGCTTGCTTTCAGCTCTGCTGCACTTATGAGTAATGCCCACCACTGTGAAAGATTTGACCACAATGAACAAAATAAGGCAATTCAGTACCACCAGATGTTGTCACATGGTGTTCTTCTTTCCTACAAAAGAATTAAGTTGACAAATGATTTTTTTTTCCCCCCTTAAGATGCCACTTTCCTCACCCTTTGAGTAAGGAGATGCTATAGATTCTGCAAGGTATGTGTCACTCTGCTTTTTGAGAAGTATTCTGCCTCAGTATTGCTTAATTAAGAACAGGCAGTTTTATTCCAGAGTAGTAATGGGTATCACTTAACAATTAAATGCATATTTCCCCCCCCCCCCCAGACAAGGGGGGAAGTGGCAATTTCTTGAACAACTGAATTGTGAACTCATTTGAGCTGACATACAGACTACATATCTTTGGTTCCACAGGAAACATTCAGCTTATTCTTACAATGATGTATATTTACTCACAAAATTAAGGAAAACAAAAATTGAATAGAAGATCTATCTAAGGTTCCCTCATTTCTTAAGCATCAGGCTTACACTTGTGGTAGAAAGGAGGCAAAATAAAACATCTGTGTTCAATAAAGACCTGTGTCTGTCTTAAGTTATTGTCAGCCATAAATTCACATATAGCCCCCTAGGGCTTGTTTCCACTCCTTTTCCGATACCTCCCCAAGATCTTCTTGCCAAAGCAAAATTTTGTTTAAGTTCTGGTAAAAAAAGAGGCACACTTTAATGTCAGATAGTTTCTCAATATAAAACCCTTCTGAGAACCATTCATAGCCAGTAGCAATTCTCAGGGATGTATTGGAGGAGGCTTATTTCTACCGAATAGTTTTCTACACATAAAATCCTTGGCCTGAAGGTTGCAATAAAGCACTTCTCTAAGTCTTGAAGTGAATCTTAAGATACAGAGTAATAAGTTACCATAAAACTGTTCCCATATGAAGTGGCATTTCACAGTGTCAGTTAAGTACTTAACTGCAACCAGAATGAAGTATGATGCATGTTAGTTATGAAACATAAGCCTACTAATACAGTCTGCCACAGATTAGCTCTTACCTATGTATTCAAACTCCTCCTTCAAAGCCATACCATTGTGAGAAAAACATTGCTGGCATATAAGGGCATACCTGGAAAACATGAATAATATATAATTACAGACTTCTAAGTAATAACACTGACACAAGATTCCTTTTACCTTAGATATCGACTAATAGCTTAGATATTTATGCTTAAAAAGGTCATTTCCACAGGGAAATTATTCTTTAAAGCAAAATAAACCTATACATTACATAAGTTTTTTAAGTTGGTTTAAAACCAGTGAAATATTCTTAGCCACAGTTTAAAACTCATGGCTGAACATATTTTTAATATCATCATTGTAAGAAAATAACCCCCAAATTAAGTTTATATTTCATTAGCATACAGTCAACATGAAAAGTGACCGTTGTTAACATCGAAGTTCTGATATGCTTGAACAGTTCTGAAAGCAATCTGAAAGCATTTATAATGGTGCTTACTCCTGAAATAATCTGAAAGCTGAAGTGCTAAAATAATCAAATTACTTTTTCTAGTTCACAAATATAATTCATTCACACACTTGAGCACAGATTTCTCTCTTTGTATCAAATGGCTAATACCACCCAAGTAGAGGTTAATTCTGTCAAAAAGTTACCAATTTTCCTACAAACAAATTTCAGGTGAAGCCCTAAGGACCATTTCATTTTGAAAATTTCAGACAAATTAATTTACAATTCCTTTAACCTTGACACTTCTGACTTGGGGAAAAAAAAAGGTTAAGAAACTTCCTATCTCTTAAGTGTTTAGGTATTTCCTTTAGCAACATTTTACCTGTTCTGAGGACCATCGCCAACCAAGTATTCAATAACTCTGTCCACAACTCCTCTTTCTCGAGGAAGAATAGGTCTTGCTAAAGGAGGACCTGGAGGATGAAGACCTAGGAAGACACAAACTATGTCAAAACTATTTTCAACTACATTATTATATATGATATTTCACTGTGCATACTAGTGCAATAAAATAATTGCACCTACTTAATACACACAACCACATTTCTCAGTCCACTAAAAAAGCTGAAAGATATTTACACCCACAACAGTTGAAAGTTTCTCTTCTGCTCCCTTAGCTTATAATCTTATTAAATCACTACTTTTACACCTTGGATATGTAATTAAATTTGTAATTCCTAAGGAACTAAAGGCATTAATAGTATTTAATGGTTACTCACAAATAGAGGCTTTTTAAGCAAAGAACAACAACCACCTTGAGTTTTCTTCATACACTCTCAACTCTGCATATTCAACACTTCAAGTTTATGCCAATAAATCTGGTAAAATCAATTACAACAGTAGAAGTAAAGATGTTACCAAAGAAGCACCCACTGGTTTCTGTGTTATTATACTGAATGAGCATGTCCTCAGTGTCTGTTCAGTTTAAACTTGTGCAGCCATTTGGCATTTTGGTAATCCCCCATTTAAACAAAAGTTGGATATTTTCAGATTTATGCTTAGTCAAAGAAACCAGAGGGACACTATTAAGTATCAGTTTTCAGTGAGTCACATGTGTTTAATGAACTACTGTCAAATTAAAACTCCATTAACAACAGGTGACAGTAATAGTTGGCACTCTGTTCACAATGGCAGTTAAAGCAGACCAGTGGCATAAGCTTGTCCTTCCACAAAGTTTTAAAACATCTGGTCTATCGTACAAAACCACCGCAAGCTGCCAGTTTCCATTTATGTAGCTTTAAGTTCTTATGTCCACCTTCCTTTCCAGCCTTAAAACAGAAGACACTAGACATAACGAGCAAAATATGATCTGGTAAGGAACTGTCTGAATCACTCAGATGTGACCACTGAAATAACTAGATAGGAACCTTCTTCCCAAGGCCATGCTCCTGGCCAAGAGACATTTTACACAAGCACAGGAGGTATGAAGTTAAAGTACTTGCAACAAACAGATACCAGACAGTCTTGAATGTGAGAAAATTAAGTGAGCACTTGAGAGGAACAAGGAAGACTTAAAATGTATTTCCGTAAGACCATTATGAATTACATTCAAAGGCCACAAAAAATGATGTTTGAGTAAGACAAACCAGTCCTTTCAGGTCATTGAAATTGGGGCAAAACAATCAGCTTCAAGCCACCTGAAGACAAATTATGAAACCTGACAGATAAGACTCAGTTTAACCCAACAAAATTACTTATAATAACGCAAAAGTCCTAATCAAGCTCAAGATAGTTAAGAATGTTAGACAGAAAGAGTTCAGCTAATATTAGCAGGTTTCATACTGAGATGAGCATATGGTAATGTGAAGCCATGCAAGAATCAAGTACACTTAATCCATTGAAGTAAAATTCTCAAGATGCAAGAAGTGACCACTGTTTTCTCAGGGAAGATTTCTGACTTGTAGCTATTCTCAGTATATTTGGTAAAAACAGATATACAAAAGACATAGCTTAAAAAAAAAGATTTTTAGTGACCACAGATGCAGCTTTCAATTCTCTTTTCAAATTGCTGTATGCTTCCAGTGTTTTTCTCAGGAAGATATGTTTCACAGAATCCCACATAATGCCCACTAAACAAAGAGGAAGCTAACAGGTAAAGCAAACTAAACCCACTGTCTGAAGATGAAAAGAGGATTTTAAAAAGAATTCAAATAAAGGACTTGCAGGAGAGAAGTTTGTTGCAAGTTGAACTAGTTCAGAAGGACATTTAATTGAAAGATACCATGGAAAAAACAGTCAACTTCAATCTTGTCTTCTGAGCAGCTTTACCTTTCTTGTAGCACCTTAGCTGGGGACAGCACCAGGACATGCACAGCCCTTACAATACAACCGATACTCTTTCATAAACATATACACAAAAATAATATGTACCTCTTAAGTAGAGCATACACAAGTAAAGACAACAGAGCAAGTCATACTATTTGATAAACTGATCCAAGATGGACTTTAAGTTTAAATATAGCATTAAATGTAATTGACAGCAATTACCATCTCAAGCCTTCTACCTTTTAACCTTCACAGACTGGAGCAACAAAGAAAGAGTAACTTATGGCAGAACATGCTACACTGTGGTAAACTTCAAGCTGAATGTCATGTACAGCTAACCTCCAAACTCTGTGGCAAACATCAGAAGCACTACAGGAATCAAACATTTTCAGGAGTGCTCTCAAAGGGCTACACACAGAATGAGACTAATCTTGTCATTAAGGCTGCAATATTTCTAGCAAGCACCCTCTCAAAACAGCTCTCATCAATACTAGATAATTGACCTAAATGGACTGTCCTAATCTTTACAAGCACAATAAAATTTGATCACAAAATGCTACAATTTACAACTCTTCAATAAGCAGAAAAAAATTTCATGCTCAGTGCAAATGTTTAAAATAACCCTAATTTTCACAAGCAAGAGAACTGAAATCAGGAGATATCAATCAGTGAATGCATTCCCAAGTTATTCCTGTATTCTGTCAACAAGCATGAATCCAGACTTAGTAAACCCTCACAGCAGCAAGGTAGAACAAATTCAGTGCAACATGAACTGGACCTAGTGCTTTGTATTCTAGATTCTGGTAAAGCTGTCCAAAGAGTTCAGGCAAAATGTATTTCCTAAAGCTCCACAAAAACCTTCAAGATCCAATACTTCCCTAAAAAAACCTGAATGGACAACATCTGACAGATGTGAAGTAAAGATCTGGAGCACTGATATAATCTGCAATAAAATTAGAACTCCAGAATAATTTTGAGAATACCTGGCTAACACTCAAACAGGTATTTAGCCCTATATTCAAAAGACCAAATTTTCAGGACCTGTGTATCACCAATATATGAAAAGCTTCTAGAAGTTAATATACAAGGCAAAAATTAACTAAAGTTACCTAGAATGAAACATGACAAGGTGCTCCAAGAACAACTTCAATTACCTGCCTACTAATAACTCAAACCAACCATCTTAGTTCTCATGCTGTTACGGACACCAGTAATTAATATAAACATCAAAAGCAATCATTGTAGAAAGACTGGTCATTTCTGCAAAGCTTGGCAAACTCTCAACTACCTGCTGGTTATTAATTTTCAAACATATGGGAGCTCTGTGGTAATACACGTTAAATTGATTCTCCTCTACAAAATATAGTATAATGAAAATGAATTATTAATCTTCTCTAAAGTAGAGATGATTAAGGTTATTCATATTTGTTGCAAGCCAAGCATAAACTTAGATGCAGTAATATTACACCTGTGTAGCTGTACTGAAAAGTGTGTAAATTTAGTATCTATAACTGAGATTTTATAAGCCTGGAAGGTTTGGAGAAATTCAAGAGAAAACAAGCCTTCCACATTAACTGACAATTGCAGTGGTTTCCATTGATATCTACAAAAAAAAATAACATCTTTGGTCAAAATTTCAGTTACTAGTGCAAAAAAGGGCCTATAAAGCATTATCACAAAAACTACATCAAATATTTTAATTAACAGGCTTGGCAACTGTCCTTTCAAATAAGTCCTTTTTTTTTTTCCTTCCTCTAAACCATTTCTGCAGTAAAGGCTGAATTTCATCTAGCTTATTCAATATGCCTGAGTCTTCCCCTAAGAATAAAACTATTATATAGCCAATATTATTTTATTATATAGCAAGCTTCTTAAACAAGGAGCATGTGATTTTAAGCCCATTAAGGAATTCTCAGTAAGCAGGTTTCAGTAAACGTGCTTTGTAACCAAATGGTACTTCAAAATAATCAAGACTTACTAATAACTTGCCTTTACAGTTTACCTCAGGGATAAAAACAAATTTAGCAGTTTCATAACACAGGTAAACAATTACTAACAAAAAATAAGGCTTAAAGGACTCTGAAGAGAAGTGAGAGATCACAACTTCTCATGACAAGTTTATTCCAGTACACTATACAATACAAACAGACATTTAACATTCAGCTGCTCAAGATCTTCCATCAAGAGATCAGGTGTTAATATGTTATGTATAGTCCTACTTCTAGATTATACCATGGAAGTTCATAAGCAAGGACATACAGGTTTGTAAGACTTAAGTTAAAAAGTCAAAAATCAGGAACACAGGGCAGAGAAAAATATTCCTGATCACTGTATAAAGAGCAAAGAGCTACTCTACATTACAGTGCTGCCCAAAAGATTCTTGGCAAGTTGCATCCCTTCTATTTTCAAGACAGTATTTCATCTCCTTTCTTGTCTTGTGATCCAACTTGCCAGACATCCTGCAACAAAGGCCTGGCACTAACCAATATACACAGGTTTATCATCCATGAGGGAAGATAACAGCACCTCCCACCCAAAACTCTCAAATTTTGCTATCCCTCCTATGGAATTTAGTTCATGTTCTATTTAATGAAGTTCATCCCATCTGAACACCAAGCCAGAAGTCAAAGGAAAAAAAATAATTTTCAGGATATAAAACAAAGTTTTAAAGAGAACTCATTGCTACCAGATTTCAACCTGTTGCTAAACTTTTGATTCTTGTGCAATTTCAGAATTATTCAGCTACACCACAGACAACTTTTCTGGTGTACTTGATATTTTACACTTTAATCTATGAGTATAGATTGCATGACTATACCTCCTAGAGTAAAAATTTAAATAAATGTCAAGATGCATGTTAAAAAATATGTGCAGGGTTTAGTGAGAAACACGAATGTATTCTGAAAGTGTTCTCCTCTGTACCTGATTTATATAAGTGCAGAGCTCTTCTAAACTAAGAACATAAAAAGGTATGCTATATTGTTGACTACAGAATACTGCAAAGTTTTATTGCCATTTAAACAAAGAAGCCATAACAGTTAAATGAGCTCAGGCAATAGGTTTCAGCATCAAAAGGTGCCAGCTGTAAAGAGTTATGGCTAATTGAATATGGAACTCCTGCTTAATCAGATAACTGTTCTGCTATTTCCAAATGAAATGCCATTTCCATACTGTCTGAAAATGGCCTATTTTATTGGTAACCAGAGAAAACAATATAAACTGTAAATAACATTAAGTGTTCTGTTTACCCATTCCAGGCACTGAAGTAGCAGGGGATCCAGGGCGTCTTGGTAAAACATTTGACTGCAAGGATGGCACAACAGTTCTTTCTGGGGGTCCACTCATAGCTGGTGTGTCTCTCTGCAGATTAGGAGAGGCTGGAACCAGTGACTTTGGAGAGCCTTGTTTAGGAGTCACAGGCTGGGGCACAGAAGCATTTCTTTGAGCTGCGGTTCTCTGACGAATTTCTGACAAGAACACATGAATTATACTGAATTTAACATCTAGCATTATAAGCAAGAGATTAGTAAAAGTACATTAATATCATTATTCAAATCAGCACATTAGAGTCACACCAAACCAGGAAGAGGTCTGTAGCTACCTGGCTGAGCATGCCATAGAAATAAATCCCACACAGAATACCATGGTTTAACAGCAATAATCATTAACCCTTAAACACTTAGGGCAAAATTCTTCGAAGAAAATTAGCATCAGATACCCACACCCTTACAATTCTGTTCTCTAAAGCAGAATGTTGGAGATATGAACAGCTAGATTCAAACCACAACATAGACAGAAGAGACCACTGGTTTTACTCTCTGGTTTAAACATGCTTCCAAGTTTTTAGCTTTCCATAGGACCAAATACTCAGTCAATGTCTAAAATACCCAGGCTAAGTGCCCAGAGTTATTAAAAAGTTTTCTGATTGGATAAATGAAAGAATTCTAGAGCCAGAAGAAAACATAATGTTTCATTCACATCATATAATTTCATTTACTTTTTTCAGCAATGCTACCAACAAGCCATGTGCTTAGACTATCATGAAGCAAAAACAGGCTTTGCTAGAACATCCTTCCTTTTACCTCTCCACACTCCATTGGAGTTGCTATTAAATCACTAAAAACTTAGATGTTTCCTCGGTTGTTCTTACCTGAAACCAGAGTTCTTACTAACACCAGTGGGAATATCATCCCAGTAACATATTAAGGTTTGGATATTATATTATTCATGCAAACCTTAAGTTCCTTTATATTTAAACTCAAGTTTGTTCCCCAAAACAAGACAGGAATAGAGCTCACAAACAGCAGTCATCATTATCTATTTCTCATTCCATCTAATCACCTCTATGAAGCCTCTGAAATACACTATTGCAACAAATCAAACTGAAATACAACCCTCACTTTAGGGCTGCAGGCATTAAAATGGTTAACAAGTGACAGTTTAGTCTAAAAGATACATCCCAAGAATGCCTACACCTAAGACCATAGTACCCTACAGAGTTAAGCGTCTAGCTCCCACATTAGTTTGAACAAGCTTGCTTGTCTTCCTTCACAACAAATGGAATTTAACATTAGAATCGGACTGTGAAATCACTTCCCTGAGTTTCAAGATTAGAGAGATTTAATCTGATGGATTTGTCAGGCTGGAAGAGTTTAAATCCTCAGCAGGCAGTTTACAGCCCCACTGGCAACTGGCCATAGGGAGATGGATGTGCTGAAGTCCGAAGGAATAATCCCAGTCCCCAAAAGTACAATACTACCACACAGCTTCTGTATGGGCTGAAGGAGGCAGGAAGCATGTAACATCATCTTACACTAGTTAAGAAAGAATTGTTATCGCTGGAGTATTGAGTCAAACAAAAGTTCAGTTGGAAAATCATCAACATCCAGTGCCATGAGACTACATAGGCTATGTTCTTGCCTACTTATCTGTACATATAAATAGGATTAATATACACCAGAAGAAAGAAAAACACACTCTTTGGTATCATCAGTTAGAAGACTACAACTGCACAAAGCCTTACTAAAAATCCATCTAGTTCAGTTTCCTACAGAGCATAACAAATTACTAGTTTTACCATCACACCTTCACGTGGGTGACTGCTTTACTCCACACAACTTTATCATCCATGTTAGACCACCCAGTGAGTAGGAAGAATCTGTATTTTAACTTGTTTTTAGCAAGTGAAGTTTGTCCCCTCACTATTTAAACTGTTCAGAATCTGGAAAACAGAATAAATTTTAGACTAGATATTAGGAAGCATGTCTTTCCAGAAGGGGTTCTCAGCCGTTGGAATGGGTTGCCCAGGGAGGTGGTGGAGTCCCCATCCCTGGAGGTGTTTAAAGAGTACGGTTGACTTAGCGCTTAGGGATATGCTGGTAGTTGGGAACTGTCAGTGTTAGGTCAATGGTTGGACTGGATGATCTTCAAGGTCTTTTCCAACCTAGACAATTCTGTGAAATTCTGTGAAATTGGTGAGGTAGTTGCAGAAATTCCATTAAGATTTTCTTGGTGACTTGCTTCTATTTTGAAAACTGCTCTTACGTTGAAAGGTTTTTTAATCAAAAATTAATGTTTTTCTTCCCTGAATGACATTTGTGCATCTGCAAACCAACTGTATGAAGACAGATAAGTAACTTAGAGAACTTTTATTCTTCAAGCACACCGAAGTCCAAATTCTGCAGTTACCAGCACTGAGCAATACCAGTACGTAAGCAGACACATTACTTAACAGGGCTACTACTCAATGATGATTCAGTATCTCTTAAAAATATTAAGATATTGCCAGTAGTGAGACAGCTGTATTTTTCATATTTACAAGTATAAATATTTTATTTATCCATCACTCCAAAACGTCTTGATTTTTGTAGAGAAGAATATATCATTTTTAAACAGCTAAAGCACAACATAGATCAATACACAGTTCACATAACTTGCTGGATTTAGCGGCAAAGACCAACCAAGAATTTTTCTTTCTTCCTCCTCATGTCTGTACCCATCCCACAGCGTGCAACCATCTGCTATTGCATTATTTTTAATTCAGGTCACAGAGTGATCTCATTTACAATACAGCCCTGCCAACAGTTGTATTAGCACAATGAAGGGCAGAGGTATCAACAACAGGCTATTGTTGATAAATATTTATTCCATTGCTAATATATATATATACTTACCCTATTTTTTTCATATGGCCAAAGTACTGAATAACCATATGATTACCAACTCTACCTCTCAAAATGTATCTGAATATATAAAATTGCACTTAAGTTTGCAAATTACTTTCTTTCTGGATGTCCAGGTGCTTTCATATGTCAAACTCAAGATTCATCTGAATCATCTGTTAAAACTACAACTATTTAATAAGCACATGTCAAAAATCACAAAAACTGCAAAAAGATCTAAATATATATGAAAACTAAGGCCAGTTGTTTTTCTAAGAACAAACTATTATGTAATGCTGATTAAATCTTTGTATTAATTAGTATGATACACAAGTTCACATTTCAACTGAGAAGTCAAAAACATACTAACCTTTTATCAGCTGCCTCATACATAACATCACCCAGTCTGATTACACATTGGTCATTATTTACCCTCTTTTCAAAAAGACTCAATTTACAGAGCTCAAGATACATGTTAACAAGATATTTTATTATTACTAAACACTATAATTTTACCAAATATTGCATATACCTAATTACACCACAATCACATTAAGATTTCACCTAGTTGTAGTTACATACTGCACAGAATGGAATCTAATATTTGTTTGGGGCATATATTTAGTGTGAACAGCAATAAACTAGTAGTGTTTTTTGATAGCTAAAAATTAAAATAATTACGGCACATACCAATAACAGGTTATTTAGAAAATAAGTCTCCATGACTTCACAAGCTAAAGCCAAACACAGCATGTCCCTCACACTATAATGCATCTACAAAATACAGTAGTCTTAATATTCACTTTCACATGGACAAAAAGCAGCACCAATTCTAAATTCAGTGTGTTAGAGAACAGATTGGAAAAACAGAAAAAGTTGTTGTGTTGTATATCAACAAAATTATATAGAATCATTTAGGGTTTAGGCTGGAAAAGACCCTTAAGATCAAATCCAACCAGAAGCCATAACAACTTACAAAATTTATTTTCTAAAATCCTTTCCAAGGCTAAACTGCACTTTTATTCAGGATAAGGTAGATTGCTTACTTTAATGTGGGTGCACTCGAAAGTAGAATAACGTTTGAATCAGAAGTGTACTTTACATTTTCTCAGCTGTGTCCCCACTGACAGGTCTCTAGTTCACACCACAACAGTCTCAGAGAGCAGCACTTAGATTGTTCTCAAATGAAACTAAACTGAAAGATGCCTTTCACCAGGTCCATGAGACCTGTTTACAAATAGCCCTAAATAACCCCTAAACATAAAGTGTGGGCAAACTTCTCAGCAAGTCTTTCACTCTACAAATCTACTCCTGTTATACCACACTCACACTTATTAATGTAGACCACAGCCCATAGAGACTGTCTCTCAGAAATACTTCTAACACTCTCAGAACCTCTCCCTCATAGCCTTCTATTAACAGTCAAGTTAAAACCAACACAACATGCCATACTGTGGGATCCAACTAACCTGCTTTTGACCAACTCAGAACCCTGGATCAAAAGCATGCACACTGTGCTTTATAAACCCAAACATACACAAGACTAATAATACAGAGCAACTCACTGCTCACCATCACTACTTACACAGCCTGGGCAGAGGGGAAGAGAAAAATCATATAACTCCTTAGGAGTTTCAAAAATGCTAGTGATCTCTCTTAAAGCCAGGGTAACCTATGATTTCTCACTGTCTATTTAATTTATACCTAGTTATCTCTAGATCGCTACATAAAACGCACATTTCCAGACAATTTCATCCCCTGGTCAGCATTACTTGCATTCTATAAACAGATCCATCATCCTTCTTCTGGAGTAATTTATAACACAGCTCAAGGAGAAGGATGAATATGAAGAGTTAAAAAAAACAGACTATCTAAACGTTACAGGTATGACAGAAAATTCTTGGCAACCACCCATGAGCTGTACTGAGACAGAGAACAAAACAGGGTGTCAGAAGGGCCCTTCAGCCTTAAAAAAAAAAATGTTATGAATGCTGCAGAAATGGAGTGATAGGAGAGACAGGTAAGGAGGAAACTTGAGAAAGAGCTGTTGTGCTAGGACACCAGAAGAGATAAAAGCTTTACTGCTAATGTACTACACTGCAACTACTTGCTGTCAATGTCAACAAGTAAGGGTGGTTTAAAAATGTTTTCATGACAATTTGAAGCTAAGCAAGAAGAACAAAACAGTGGATTTGACCATGCAGCTTTATAAACACCTTTCTTAGTAAATCCAAGTGCTCTGCATCCATAAAAATCAGCACTCCAAGATCAAAAAATAAGACAAATAAAAGTTCAGTTACTCACAAGAATTAGACACAAAGTTGACAATTCTAATATATGCTCTAAAGCAATGTGTCTGTTTTATGGAAAATTATGCACATTAGACTCTGCAATTTGTTTTGAGCACCAGCCCCTACAGGTCTAAATTGGTTATAACAGTAAATTAGCACTCACACTTTGAGACAGATCTTTGTAAGTATCTTCAGTATTCTAAAACAAGGTGGCCTTCATACTGTGTTAATACTAGCATTTTGAGTTTAACCACAGCATAATATACTCAGCTTGAAGAAATACTTAACAGCAGTTTGTCTACAAAAATTTCTTTTGATTTACAGTCCACATTTTTAATGCAAGGATTCTGCTGGGAGAGTGTGGGGGAGAGATCTCTTCAGTCTTGAAACCTGTGTGTGCAAATCTAGAAACAAAGCTTCCTTGAAACACATGCAAGTTATTTTTCTATTTATTATTTTATTCAATAGCACCTTTAAATGTAATATCAAACTAGCAAAGAACTGTCTGTTCTTTGCACCTATTAAATATCTGATTTCTGCACAAGCTCTGTGGAATCTCTCCATCCACCATATAAAAAGTAGTTTAAGCACTGCCTTAGGAAAGGTCAGAAATAGAAATAGAATTGAAAATCTCAGTCAATTAATATTACATAAGATCTGAAAGCATCTTCATATTCTAGAAAAATTGCAAGTATGCCACAAAAAGTTAATTTTCTCTGCTTTAGCATCAAGCAGCATTAAACATCCTGCTGTCTAGAGCAACCAGCCTTTAGTAACAGATCCTTTGTCTGAAAAATACAGAACAGTAATGGACATAGTCTAATAAACAGTCTATTAACCCTAAATAAAGGTCAATTGATCTACAAATTTTATCAGAGAGAATTCTAGAGTGGAAATTGCTATGAAAGATGAGTATCTGTGCTAAAGAGCAGCCGTTTTACAGGGCTATTACCTTGTCCAGGTCTTGGGGTTGCAGATGTTCCAGCAGATGGCGGTTCAGCCTCCTGCCAATTAATTATAAATAATGTTATCTGAATGTTCAGCTCCATAGTACCTTTTCTATTAAATCAGTATCAATACCAATATTCTTACCTTTGCACTTGATCCTGGATCAAACCTTTCAAGGATTAATTTAGCAGTCTTGTATGTTTCCTTCTCCATTACTTCTTCAAGCTGGAAACAAAAAGGTTCCACACATCAGTACAGAACTCTTCAAAGTAATTTTCCCTCATATCTTCCCATTTACAAGCAACTTAATGTTACCAAAAGGTGAAGCTCAGTCCAATAAATGAGTTGTACATTCAGATACCTGCAGATTTGCTGTATTCAACGGAAATTAAATTTTGTTTTCAAAAATAGTTTCTAAACTCTAATGGGACACTTGTATTTAACAGCTTTATTGCAAGGAAACACCAAATATTGCTAATTGTTTACATATAATGAGGAGAATAATTACATGCACCAACTTCAATAATGGAATGTGCAAAAATCTATCAGCCATCATTATTGGAAGTTATTAGACATGACAAGCGAATGACAGGCAATTCCTTAGATTTATTTCCTCATAGCACTTAATGCTATTAATTTAAGGAAGGTCGTTAGCCAAGTGCTTTACAGAATAAAGTCTCTGTGCCAATTAACTGCTGTCAGCATCGATTTTAGATTATTTATTAGCAGAAGCAATTAGCTTGCTGCAAATGCTATGAAAACTCACTAACTAGAGAACAGCCATGGAATTTGCTCAAATGACTTTAAAGGCTGGATCTCCATCTTTACAGCGATTCAAACCACTTTTCAGAAAAATGGAACATGTTACGAATTTAAATAAAAAATTTTACTGAGAACTATGCATACTTTAGGGAGTGTAATTAAAGCACTTCATTATTACAGCATTTTATTTACAATGCACTCAGGTGGCTTTATAGTTAATACATGGGCTTAATTAAAAAAAGTAATCACTAGTAAAGTATCATTTTAGTGGTTAACAGCCAACATCAGAAGCAGCTTAATTTTAAAATGGAGATAGTTGAAGTTATGACAAATAGCTAATATGTATAGAAATTATCGTGCATTTTACAGTATCTTAAGCAGACCTTTTCTCCTAGATATGCTGACTAATGGCCATGTTCAGCTAAAAGTGGGGGGGTTGTTTGTTCTTAAGTTTGCTGTTGGCATAAACTGCAAAGCTGAAAAGGCCAGTGATCAAAAAATTAAGTTCTCTCAAACTCATTTATCACTGCTAAAATAACAAATGGTGCAGGTTAACATGACTTTTATGCCATTATTTAGCTAGTGAGAAACTAAAGTTTCGGCCATTCTGCATATACAGACCTTGTAGGGATTTTACCTTTAGACAGACCTCAGAAGCTAAATAAAATTAACTCAATTTAATGGATACACAGTATCCATTTAACACTCACTCCTACACACACTACCAGAAGTTTAAGGCAAGGAATACTTTCTAGGCTGTTAATTAAGGACTGTTGAAACAAAAGGGAGTGAAGACAGAAGTAACAATCGATTTCCTAAACTTATATTTCAGCAGGACTTTGGAGTTAACTCACTAACTTCATAAAACAAATGCTACACAGTGCAGTTAGATCAGAATTAAAGGTCTAATAGGAAAAATAAAGTATTTATTGCTTATAAAAGTGAAAACCATAAGGCAGACCTTTGTAAGAAGGGGAGAGGTTAGCGAGGTGAAGCTGCGAAGCAGGGAAGTGTTAACAGTCAGTGTCAGTATCTGGCCACCAAACCAAAATTTAAAAATCCCAAGTTACTTTACATGAATGAACATATAATGCATGCTACTGTCTTTATAACCACACAGGAAAAGGAGAGATAACATTCTGCAGGACAAAGTGACCTTTAGGAAGAGAAAAAAAAAAACACAGAATGCTCCACCATCACTTGACACTTCCCTTATCTAACACACTTCTTGCTATGGCAGTATTAGATAGGATAGTAGTTATTTGTGGATATATGTTCTGTAAACACAGCAGCATTATTTTGAAATGGAAAAATTCAGCTTTCATCACAAGATTCAGATGTCAAAGTTATTCTTCCCATTCTACAGTTACTTGATAATTCAACAAGTTACTTTTCATATTTCAAAATTCATATATAGCTATATATTTCTAGTAAAGTTGAATCTGAGTAAGAATTCAGTTTTACAACTTGTTACAGATTTCTTGAAAACGTACAGAAATTATGAGTGTGCTTATAAAAACCTTGACAGTTCTCACAGTTTTACTTCTAGGATATATTTTTCTAAAAACACTTGAAAATTTGGCTGACAATACCAAATAAGGAGTCAAATAGGTCAAAGCTTACCTACTCGGAGAAAATCAGTATAATTACTAGAAGCTAACAAGGGCCTGTGTAAAATTTAAATACTATATCTCTATGTTTGCGTAGCAAAAGAAGATGGCTTGTGCACTGTCAGGGCAAGCTCATTTATAAATGCAGATCAACATACCAACTTCTGGATTATTCACATCGTGACCACAACCTTGCAAAGGTTAACCCAGTGCTGAGCACCGGCTTGCTAACACAGCAAATTGCTTGACACCTGCTCTTTTTCCACAATATACTCCTCTGAGATCCAAAACTTTTCCCACAAAAACATTTTCTACTTTCTGCTAAGGTCTAGTTCATAGTCTATTATTATCAAGCTTAAATGCTGAGTAACCAGGATCACAAATGAAGTCACTATGAAAGTTAATACCAGCCTAATCATGGATTTTTCAAACTTATTTCTTGGAATTAACCACATCTTAATAAAGAAGCCTGGTCATGTACCACATTCTCTCCTATGAATAATTACATGGATGGCCTCCTTTCCAACTGGCAACCAAACAGAATTCCTGTGGCAACATCATCAGTTGCCTGTATTGAAAAGTAATACTAGTAATGCATTTTAAGCTTCTTATAAATCCGATTTAGCAACTGGAAGTCTGAAGTATTGGCATGGTGCAATACTTACTCGCCATACTACCATGCAAGTTCTTAAACTGAATTACTCGGTAAGTCAAACCCAAGTATGGAAAGGTATTTCTTTATGTTCACACAAAGCCACAAGTTTAGTTTCAGCCTACCATCTAGGATATGCCAGAACACATAGAAAGTTTCCTTGAAATAGGAAATAAGCCATTTATGCCACAATAATCAAGTGTACATCAGATATATCCATGCAAACAGTAAAACAACCAAAGTAACTTTTGTGTGAACACTGCATGAAGGATATACTTAATTTGCATCAGTAAATACAATTTTCAAACATATTCTGAGCTTCCAATTGCACATTTGCAGTACCCTACCATACATTGGATACACAAGGCTGGGCTTATATAGCAACCAACTTCTAGTAGTTTGTCACATAACCTGGTAAGGTTATCAAAATGTCTGTAGTTTTCTACACCTGGAAATCTGAAGGTATAAAGCTCATTAAACAGTAGTTATTTTAAATAATAAAATTCATATGCTGCTTTTTCCATTACTAACATAACTCCAAGGCAGCCTTGAAAACAGATTTTTTTTTTCCTTTGGAAAATTAACAGATGTAACTTCCTCAATTTCTACCCAAAATGGGCTAGAAAGTCTGTCCAAGTCTAATATTACACTCAGCCTACTGTAACAGAATAGCTAAGCAAACTTCAGCAAAGTTTAATTCTAACATTAGCAAAGTAATTACTGGACTATCTTCACAACTCTGTCCTCCAGCTAAGAATTATCCCATCTTTAAGACTGCTGCTCCAGGTAGTCTCCACTAATTCCCACACGTAGCAACTTAATACATGTCCTGTGCGTTTGCTTTACTATGCTTACCCCTCTGAACTTGATCATCTATACATACAAATTCAGGCTTAAGGCCTGACATCCTCATTAACTGAGAACTCCAAGGCCAAAACTCCACAGCTATACAATCACAAAACAAACCAGTGTATCCCTTACCATCAAGGAGGAAAAAAAAAAGTTGTATCTTGAAGTACTGCCTCAATTACAGCTAATTAACTTAATCCTTACCCCCAATTCATAAAGAAACACTCATCGTGTTTTAAAGCATTTACTTCAAAAAAAGTAGTATAGAGAATCAGATCTGCAGAAAGTATTACTCAAACTTCGAGTCAAGTACAGCCTTTCCAGCTGAAGTATCTATATTTGTGGTTGTCATGTATTTTACCCACATGAATATCCATGTGATTACACCAACAAAGACTGAAGCCTTTTGAACAGAACTGAAGTTCTATTGAGCAGCTCACTGCACAGCCACCAGGGCATTCTATCTAGTAAATGAGGAGCTTACTCCGTTACAGGTACCCTTCAGTACATAAGTAATGTCACTAGGGAAAAGGTGGACCACATGCCTGTAAAACACAGAACTCTTAACATTTTTCAAAAGGACAACTGTTTTCAGTATAAGATTTCTCCAGCAATCAGGTAGTTGAGCTGCAATGAAGTGAAAAACCATTGCTGCTGTGGCAGACTGACAGTGCCTAGACAACAACTGGCATTACAAATAAAGAGAAAATGTATAATTTACTTATCCCAGATACTTTGAGGATCACAATGTAAATATCTTCAAAAATAATCCTATTTGAAAACTCAGTAGCACATCAGAATCCAACAGAGGGAAAAAAAAAAAAAATCCTCTCCCTTCCTCCTTCCCATTATTTTATTTGGTAAATGTTTTGGGTTTGTTTTACTAAGAAGTAGGTGTTGCTATGGTTATTCATAGCTACAGATAGTCCTAAATTAATCCAAAACAAAACCAAATATGATTATTATCAGAACCAAACTATTACAGAATTAAGTTTTGTAAGTGTTTTTATCTAAGATACAGATTATATTCTCATTACCTACATCCACATTCAGCTCATTTCAACATGATAGGCTTCACATATGATCTAATTTTAATGCTTAATTGAATACCTTTAAATTATGATGAAACTCCTGAGTCAGTCTTCTGAGTAAAAAATACCAACACCACGCTGATTCAAGAGGTTGCATTAAGTCTTCTGTTTCTGGTTCCTTGCTAGGAACCAGCCACCCACAAGATTAGGAGGTAATCATGGGCTTTCTATTCCCCTCAGATTGAAAACTAGCCAAGTTATAGGTTATTGGACCTCCCAGAACTGTGTTTTACTAATTCTATTTAGAAGTTTGTGTTTAATGATTAAAGCTGGACATGCATATATACTAATGGCAATTTATATTTGCAGATTTACACTCCATAGTTACACTGTAATGTATATTGTTCACAAGGTATTCGTGCAGCTGTTTAATTTTTAACCACTGCCTGCTCTTCCACAATATGTGGTTTTGAATTTTTGCATATGCAAAACACATTTACATCTTGTTTCAACAGTATCAATTACCAAAGTAAAAAACTCTCGCCTTTATAAAACAGCTATTTCCTGAATTACTGATGCATTTTCCCTAAAGTGGTGCTTCTCACACAAAAATTCAGCATTACTAGTTCTTCTAGAATAAATATGATTTTTGTGATCACAGAAAAATAAACTTTAACTGAAATTAAGGCTTTACATTCAAGACTCTCCAAAAGCTGCTTTGTTCTACATTGTGCTTTCTGTTCCAAGCGTCATAATATAACTTCTGGAGTTTTTAGGGGGAGAAGGGGCAGTGGTGTTTGGTTTTCAGTTGATTGGGATTTTTTTGTGTTTTGGTAGTGGTGGTTTTTAAGTTTTGCCTTGCAAGGCTGGAGATGAAGCCAGCAACATAAGTAAACAGAGAACTTCCTTAAGTAATTACTAAGTAGAGAAAAAACAGCTTTCAGTGTTACAAACTTGACAATGAATGCAAGTTATCCGGTGATTCAAATCTTCCCCATTCTAAATCTGCCTTACCAAGGTTGTTGATCCAGACCAGGCATACACCAGTTTTATACTGTTAACTCATCCACACAGCTCAAAATAGATGACCTCAAGACAACTGATAGGATTAATACACGACAAGCTACATTTTTGAGGAAAATGTAATGGAAAAAATATGTCGTACAAAAATAAGATGGAAGAAGATTCATTTAAGGTATAAACTATAATCTGTTATTTGATGAAAAAGTGAACCCAGATAAGATGGAAGTTCTTTTGCTATTTATGAACAAAGACATTAAGTGAGAGAGTAACTATTGAATACATAGTTGCACTCAAACAGGTACAATACCTAACTTTTTTATAATTTTAGGATTTTAACTTTGGATTATAATTATAATTTAGGATTATTACTTTAGAGTAAAAGTAGTAGTCAGCAATGAATAGGTTAAAGCATACATTTCTGTTTTCTGACAAAATGGTATCACTTTACATAGTTCTAGCAACACTAAAACAGTGGGTTTCAGTTAAACCACGGAGAGATAATTTATTCTCATATACAGGCAATCCTTTGTAATTTGGGGGTAATGAAAACCTTGGGTGGTACTAGAAAATGTATAAAAACAGAGCAATGGTAATAGCTTCACCTCCCTCTGTTCTTCATCTATACATTACAATCAAACACAACTTGTAGAGATGCAAACACACATTAGCGGACCATAACAACTAGTTTTGCTTTGGTTTACTTACTATTTTTTTCTTTTGAGATTTTAAATCTTCCAGCGCATCATCTGAAAGAAGGACATCACACATTAGTTTTCAAATATAAATAAAAGATAATTTCAGCACACTCTAAACATTGACTTCCCCATAAGATCAGAAAAAATTATGTCCTGACCGCTACCAACCCTACAATATTAGTGAATTTTGCACAAAATAACTAAAGTTTTATATGAAAATAAATAATTTTAAATGCTGAAACTGCTTATAAATTATAGCCCACTTATCACTTTACAGTTATAACTATTAAAAAGTTTTATGTACCATTTCCTCATTAAGCAAACCAATTCTAGCCAGTGCCCTCTTTTGACCTACATTAAAACTGGTACAACAATGGACCAAATACACTTAATCTCATGAGTCCAACTACAGAAAAAAGCTTTATGTCTAAGTATTCATATATCTGAGTACCAGATTTACTGGCTTCATGTAAGCCTCTTAGCACATGCTAGTTTCAAATGTCAGGTCAATTGTGAGCTTCAAATCTCAAACTATTTCACCCTTTCAGTACTTTCAGACCACAGCAAAAACCCTAGTTTTGTAGGAAAAGCTACTAGAAGGTCATTTTACAACTGTTAATAGACTATTGCAACTAGAAGGCACAGCATCCAACCTCTCCAAAAGGAAGGGAAAGAAGAAAGGTCAAATGCACACGTGATTTTCCTTTAAGTCAATGCTTACAGCTTGACACTCATGGAAAACACACTGTAATAAACTATCACCTAATATAGAAGTTAACCTCTTGATAAATCTCTTTTCTACTATCTCCTTCACAGCAAAAAGAGTTTAATAAAAAGCTTTACAACTTTTTTCCCTTCCCAGCTCTACTGGACACCAGCAGTTCACTTCCTGTAAGATACAGCTATTTTTACCCATTTTTCATTTTTCAAAAGAAAGAAAAAGCTTTACAGAACTACAAGAAACAAAAACAAAACCCACCAGAACTAAATAAAGATATTAAAAAGCACATAAGTATACTATACACAATTTTTAAAGTTACTTCAGAAACACTGCTGTTACTTGAAATTAAGGAAATACATAATTGCTTTAACTTCTCCAAAATGCAGAAATTCATTTTGATAGAATAAACCACTTTATTAAATGTACAAAGTATTAAAACTGAGCATTTACGTATTTGAGAGTTTATGCAATGAAAGGGTAACTACAACATTCCCTTATTAGTTAAGACAAATAGGACATGGAAAAAGATCGTATTTGGCACCAGGTACAACCACAGAAAACACAATTGCAGTACATGTGCATTTTCAAATTAATAAGGTACCACCCTCCACAAAATTTACACTTTTATTAGAACACAGCCTTTCACATAGCCACACACAAATTAACACTTTGAAATGCACTGCAGTGCAGTATGGTATCATGCAGCCAAACAAATAGCACAATACAGTCAGCTATTAACAGTTACTTAAGACACACAAGCTGATTTTGGTTTCTGATCAGTTTACCTCCTGTGTTCCACAAGAACCTTATGAAACACCTGTCGTTTCAAACATGGCCAAATGGCAATTACTGCAAAGTACTCTCAAGAAACCAATATATCTCATCTTAATTAAACCTACAGAAAAAAAGAATTCATACTAGAGAAGTCAATACCTGAAAGATACCTCATTTATTTTCCCCACATGTTGGGACAGATCAGCCTAAATCTTCCTCAACGTTTGGTTGACCAGTGTTAAAAACTGAAATTCCATAACCTCTCTACATCACCTTTCCTAGTGTCTCACTAGGAATTTTCCCCATTAAGAGCATGGTTTCCAAAACTGGTGCATGTTGGTTATCCAGCATAGAGCTTTATAGATTAAATAATCATCTCCAGGGACTCAATGTGTTGTATTAAATTATACCAGAATAAAAGACTAGCTTTGATCCACTCAGCTGCCAGTTTGCTCTCTCAGCTACCTTTTCTCCTGCTTTACTCCTGTAACTCTTGCACTGCACATTTGATTTATCTTTTCAAAATACATGATTTCTACCTTTGAGGTAAAATACTTAATTTTTTACCCAATCTCTGGAACAATGCAGAAATAATTCCTTTTGGCATGTTCTAGCATCTACTAAACCCCTTTATACACAGGTTCAACAAAAGCACAGACTTGCTTGTGTGCTAAAAACAGCAATAAAGACATTTAAGCAAACTAGAAAAACATACATACTTTTTTTTCTTACCCGGTCATGAAATGCAAATATATGTTCACCTTAGAAATGAATCACACAGCACCACAGAATATATGGACAATTTTATTTCTACATAAAAATGTATGTCCTACGCTTGCATATCAAATGTAAACATTAAGTTTAAGAAAAATTCAAAAAGTGATGTTTAACTCGTAAGCTGTCACAAATTAAATACATCATGTTGTTCTGCAAGTCATAAAACATTGTGCAACATTGAGGTTTTCCTGTATTATTGCTCACATCACCATGAGATATTGTTACAGGCTGGACTGCTTTCAAAGAAAGTCTCAAATGAATTCTAACTACTGCAGACAAGTGCCACAGATGCAGTTTTTAAATTTTGCATTAGAATGAATCTGCATGTTCTTTAAAAACTTTTTATATATCTGAACATCTGCGTTACTTTTTGGTTTCCTCACATTACCTCTCAAAACAGCACAAACACATCTGCTTATCACCTCTTCCACTCAGGAAAACATGACCATTGGAGAATTTAGGAAAGAAAAACTATCCTGACAAAAAAATTAAAACACATCTTCCATAAATCTCTTCTCTTACACATAAAGATAACAGATTAAGGCTACTGGAAGACTTACAAGATGCAAGTAATAAGGGAACTACTACTATTGTTTATATTTCATTTCCCTCACTCCTACTTCTACACTACATTTTATTCCATTACACTTTGAAACATGCAAAGACAGAAGGTTACCAGAATTTTGTAAGTGAAGTGAAAAATTAAGCAGTTCCCTTCCCGTTCTTTCAATAACAGTGTGTTAGAAACAGCAGTTTAGCTAATGCTACCCATTTCAGCATCAAGCAAAAGGCTGCTCTTCTTTTCCTGGAAGCCAAGTTATCCAAAATATTTACATTTTCACAGCAAGCATACTTCCTAACTAGTTCCATATTCTAAAAAAAGAGACAAAAAATACTTACTATTCCTTTCTGTCCTTTTGGAAAAGAAAAAAATGAGCAGTGTTCTTATAAACCAGATTCTTTAAAACAGAAAGAAGAATTATATTAATTAAAATATGTTACAGTAACCACTTCTGAAGACATTTAGCAAACAGACGACTTACCAGATGAAATTTAACTTCACAAATACAAAGAACAAATCTTCAAACAATATTTATACAGAAAACTAAAAATTAAATTCGTACCTTGTCAACAAGACACCAACATTGATCTAAATAAAATCCTTCTGTCTATTAAAATTTAACCAAGTATTAATGTAGGTAGAAATACTAAGGAAGTAGAAGCACATGTCATTGCTTGCTAAAATGTTCAGTGGAACTTTTTAAAATCAAGGTATGTGCAGCTAGTTTAAAATTACTTAGTCATCACTTCTCATTTGGTAAGATTTATGATTCATATTAGCCAGAAAACCAAGCTTACCACCTAAGGCCCAAAATGAACACCCAGGAGATTTGTGGGAAGAATTCAATACCAATGAAAACCATGAGATACAGCTCTCCCAAGCAGTTAACTGACCTGACTCTGGGTGATTTTAGAGCTCTGAATCCACTGTTTCAGTAGGGTTTCAGCTGACAGCTCAAACAATGGAGCAGTTTATCTGTGCTCAAGATAAACTCATCTATGACCATTTTACATTTGAAAGGTCTCTCTGCAATCATCAGGACTTCATGTTTTAAAGCTTGCTTATAATTATTAAGTTGACACTTTTCCTAGCAAGCTATTTGGCCTAAGCCAAATGGCAATTCTCACACTTCAAGCCCTTCCAAGCATCTTATCCAAAACCCTCCTAGAGCCAAGCACTATATAATAAAGCCTAAAGTATCAATGTTTCATTTAAGAAAAAAAATTCTTAAAGGCTAGAAAGGTTCTCTGAATAATAGCTAGCATTAAAAAAGCATGCAAAAGGCTTTAAGATTTCAAATAGAGTTTTGACTTAAAAGAACATTTTTTGCATTTATAATGGCTGTCCAGTTCAAAATGCTGTCAAGTACTAACACCACAGTCTGAGTTAGGCAAGTTCAAGACAACTAGAATGCAAGAGTAACCCATCCCAGGTCAGACAAACACAGAAAGAATTTTAACTCTGTTACACATTCAAAGGTGTGCTGTAACAACTACTCTAAGAATATGGATGGCTTTGCCCGCTTACAAAATGCAAGATGCATCTCTTCATAAAGTATCAAAAGTAGTAAATGTTTTTAAGGCAATTCAATCCCTGTAAGACTGTGTTACATAGCCAAAAGCATTATTTCTTTTTTACTGTATGCTTATAGTCTGCTACCTAAAACTGTATTCTAAATTAATAGATATACGGTAGGACTTCATGAAATAAAAAACATTTCCTCTTTAAGAACTGTGAGGTGAAAGTTTAATAGCAGACTATTTCAGACCAACTTTACAAAATAAAAACCTATTTCTCTGAAATTCAGAACATGCAAGATGAAACAGAATCTAATTCAAATGAAAATAATTTCAAGACAACCATCCTTCTAACATGGTAATATATTTCTTCAACTTTCCAGATATTTCAATACAAATTTAAAATTAATGACGTTGTATATTCCTAGAATTTAACTCACTCTACCAGCATCAGTAACTTGCTGAGACCCTGAGGGAATGACCTAAGGCAGAAATAAGTTGGTGACTGACTGCATGCTGGAAAAAAGGCAGACATATTCCAGTTTGATCAGGGCTGGAAAATCTCTACAGTTACTACTGGGTGGCACCAGGCATTCAGCATGGAGTCACCTCTTGACCAAGAACAAAGACAAACTGGCAGTTGCTTGACATTCATATCTGCCAAAAAAAGTTGAAGGGGAATAGCTTAAGGAAAAAATCAGATAAACAGTTGCAAGTCGTAAGAGAACAGTCTAATTCTAAATGTTAGTAAACCGATATCTAAGTCAGAATTCTAGAAATCCACCTTTCAAAAGAAAAAAGAAACAAGGAGGACAAACTAGAGAATAAAAATCCAATTCGAAAATTCACACCACATCACTACAAGCCATCACCTTCAATAATAAAAGTTTCCATTTCTATACTAATCCTAACACACCTAAGTGAAGGGAGGCTGGTAATACTACTTCTTCTAAAACCCTTCCCTGATACCATGAGCAAGCCTGGCATGCTAACAACAGCGACTTTCAAATCCTCATCCTTAAGAGCATTCATATTGCTCCAAATATTAATTTGAGCTTTAATTTCTATATTAATCCTTTCCAGTTAAGATATTGCTGCCCATGTATCTTCTCCACAGGATTCCATAACAGCAGCATATTAATCATTATGCATAACACAGAATGACGGACAAAAAGCACCGTCAAGTTGGGGGTTTTTTTTGCATGTTATGTTTTGCTGACCCACACTAACCAAACTTGCAAAGCCTTAAATATTTACATTTGACTTCGCCTTTCAAGTCTAAGATAGGGCACTAACAAGTCATGTTTTCAAAAGATCCTCTACTAATACAAACAGTATTTATGGCGTTCATTTCAGAAGATTAGTAAATGCACTGTGGTCCCCATCAGTACGAAAGATGCTCAGTAGGCTGCTTCTTCCCCTGGATGGTCTAGGGGAAAGGGACACAGGGAAGCAGCTGTTTAGTGAGGTGGAAGCCCGTTTTGTTATTTTTCAGAAAAGCAGTTTTCTTAGAAAACAAAAGCCACTTGTGAGGATAAGCAGCCAATCAGCTCAGTGGAACAAAAAAGTAGACAATACCTTCTCCTATTCACATCCAATGATATTAGGATATTTTTCTGGTTGAAGAAGAGTCAATGATTTTCCAGAAAAACAGCTAATTATGTAAAAATAGTCCTCAACATATTTAGGCTGATGACCTTCCAAGTCACTTCTTTCTGTTTTAAGAGTCACCTAATACGCAAGTTTCTCCAATCATTCCTGTGTATTTTTTTCCCATTTTTATATGCTGCATTTTACATACAAGCAACATTCCTTAGGTCACTTTCACACAGTAGTGTTACTTTTCCAAACTGCAGTAGAAATAAAACCCAATATAGTGCTTTTCTGCTTATACTACCTTACCTTGCTCTTCAGATAAATGCCTCTCTCCAGCCTTAGTATAATTCTGATAAGCCAAGTAACTTTAGATGCTAATATCTTTTCATGGTAAGACTTCGTTCCACTCTAAACTCAGACCCATGAGAGACATTTCCTCTGAAGAAAGTATCTGCCTAACTAGGATTAATTTTAAAAGAAAAGAATTCAGCGTTATGACAACTCAAGGATTGTCAAAAGCAAACCCAAACCCCTGATGAGATGTATTTTCTATCGTCTTTTATCAAAGAGACAGCACTTAGGGAAAAAAAAAAAAAAGTCATATTTACTCACATCAATGGAAATGCAAAAAATGGAAGTGTCATAATCAACCTTGCTGTCCATTCATCAGGAAGACACCAAAAATACACAATTAAGCAGGTGATAAGGTAAAGAACTGAAGAGTAGAGAAGCAGCCTTCCAACCCATAGTTTCTGTAGCCTCTGGTTTTTTTCTCTAAACTCTTCTAATGTCTGTATTTCCTGTAAATAAATAGGGGTCAACCTTATTAGTGATTTTACTAAGCTGCCTTTAAACATTTGCTAAAATTAGCCATATCTATTTGATATTTAAGTAGGAAAGTCAATCAGCTTTTTGATAAATTATATTTGCCCAAAGATAACTTCCATGGCATAAATACATCACACTATTAAGGTTATGATATGAGCCACTTGCACTGTATTAGCAGTAACACATTGCTATTGGGAAGAAATATTACAAATCAGCACATTCCTTTGTAATGCATTAGTATATTCACAACAAGTGTAAAAAGCTAATATGTTATGAGTGACATGCTTTACGATCACATAAATCACAAATCAGGATGTGAACCATACTTCATATCCTAAAACTTTGCACAGGTGCCTGTGGAACTTCAAACGCTCCTAACACTTTTCTGCTAATGCAGGAAATTGTTGTAAACATCTGAGATCATGGAGAGCTTTCATTTCAGTATTTTCCTCATATTAAGAGAGAAATCCTAAACATCTGAATGATACTTTTGGCATATTAATACGTGATCAAGCAATGTTCTGCTATGTTACCATTTTGACTCCTGGTTAACAGGAGTACTCACACTTTCATTAAAAGGAAAACAAAAAATATCAACAGCATATTTCGTAAGTTAATTTCCCCATAGAGTACCAACATCTGTCATAAATGCTGGCTAAAAAAAAAAAAATTACCAAAACATCTATTCAGTTATTCTACCCCAACCTCACTTACTACCACTACAGTTACAACTCATAGAGTTAAAACCATACACTAAAGCTTTTCTAATGAGCCCAATGAATGGAACTTTGCATTAGTGACATTTGCCATTACATGGGAGTTTAACCATTAGTTATAATTGTGTAATCAAGCCAACCTCACATTCATTCCCATTTCAGGCTCTCTAAATAAATATTTAAACTGTAGTTTCTCAATATTATATGGTATGTTTTTTCCTAAATGACTAATAGTAAGGGCAAAAAAGGTAGCAGCCTATCTGAAACTCAAAATCTAATACATCCAACTGCAATAATTATCAAAATAATTTAAAATTCCATGACAATAATTTATCTAATGTGAAATACACAGCCAGCAAAAAGGATGCATATTTCCAAACAAAAATCAAAACACCAAAATGCAAATACACACCTTATCAATTTTTTCTAATACTTCTACAGTGGAAGGCTTTGCCTGCTTATAAGAGAAAGAACAAAGATGTTAATCTTGTTTAAACAAGTCATTATTTTGAGGATTACTGTACGTTAAGAGTTTCCTAACAAAAAGATATATCCATAATAGATTAATATATTATCTATTTTACAAAAAGGTAATAAGTTCTCCTACTTTAATAGTGACAAATAGAAGTGACTGTAATGAATCACTATTTTACAGTTGGTATTACTATTAACTGAAAGCTCCTCTCCTATACCACAGCAGATGAAAACCTATAAAGCATGTACAGCAACAACGGATGTGTGGGTTCGAAGTAAAACAAGAGAACTGATGAGTGGAAGGAATAGACAAAGAGTATATATACAGAAAGCCCTGAGAACTTTAGTTTTTTATTACTGTTCATTCCACACAGACATACGCTCTAAATAAATTACAAGCAACTGCAAATAAAAGTTATCTCCAGTAAAATTCCCCTTAGAAGCAATTTTGAAACCACCTTCTAGGAATCTTTTCTGAGAAGTATAAAGCCACTATCTTCCCCCACCCTTCAGGCCACAAATTCAAAAACCATAACCCACACTGTATCAACACAACAGTGAGTTTTCTTCTTTTACACAAAACTGACATTTCACCCAAACTTTTGCCTTTAAAGGAGTTTTGGATGGGAGGCTGTGAAATCAACTGATAATATGAAAAGGTAAACCCAGACTCAAACAACTCATACCTGCCAGAAGAGTAATCAAAAACCTCGTGCCTGTCAGTACACCATTCAATAATGTATAAGCCAATAAAAAACAGCAAGACAGACTTCGCAGAATGGCTTGGGTTGGAAGGGACCTTAAAGATCACCTAGTTCCAACCCTGCCATGGGCAGGGACACCTTCCACTTGACCAGGTTGCTCAAAGCCCCGTCCAACCTGGCCTTGAACACTGCCAGGGAGGGGGCAGCCACAGCTTCTCTGGGCAACCTGTGCCAGGGCCTCACCACCCTCACAGCAAAGAATTTCTTCCTTATATCTAATCTGAGTCTACCCTCTTCCAGTTTAAAACCATTATCCCTTGTTCTATCACCACACTCCCTGATGAAGAGTCCCTCTCCATCTTTCCTGTAGCCCCCTTTAAGTACTGGAAGGTTGCTGTAAGGTCTCCCCAGAGGCTTCTCTTCTCCAGGCTGAGAATATAGGTATAACTGACATGCACAGGTCTAAGTAGCTATCAATATATTTGTTAAAACAGACACAGAATGATATTCTGAATGTATCCATTTTTACCTAAAATAACCACCAATCTTTCAAGTCACAGATGCTGCTGTATCTATCTTGATGAAGCACAACAGAACTATTTAGATATACAGAAAGAGTTAAAACTCTGTTTTTGTAAGTTAGCCAACCCAGTACCAGGCCTGGTACTGCAAAGGAAATAAAGAACAACCACAGAGTTTCACAGTTAAGGGATTTGGCAGAGTATTTTTGGTCATTATGTCTCACTCCTAGACTTTTAAGTGACATACTAGAGGAAAAAGTTTCACACTAACTTTCAACCAGCATTAACAGTCAACCAATAGGCATTATGAAACATGTCCTGCTTACCCCCACCTTAAAGACTAAAGATTATTATGTTGTTAGCCAATTTTACTTACCCTCCATCTTGAAATTAATCCACCCATCTTGTGGATGTGGGCAAATGTTGGCAGAGCTATCAATCTTCTACAAGAATTCACAGCTAGAAATGAAGCATTAGGCACTTAGGAGCAATAGCATAGCATAGTCCAAGATTCATTAATTTATTCCAATACCTAAAGGAATGCTTCATAGGCCATCTTTTAAGTCAGTTGATCAGCCTTGATGTGGTCAAATTTATTTTTACTTTGGAAATATTTAACGAGAGGAGAGTCCTCAAAAACAGAGGCACATAACAACTGCTAATAACTGCCACCAAAACCCTCCAGCAGAAAAACAATTTTTAAAATTTATTATTAAGCAAGACTATTCAAGAAACTGATTTCCAATTATTTCCTCTGCTGCTCATAAGCATAACTCTTAATGTTCCTTTCAGTTGTCACTCCAAGCATCCAGCATTAATATTCTACTATTCATGAGAAAGTTCATTTCCAATAAATCTACTACTTTTTCGTGCTCTCATCAACAAGAACATATTGGATAACCCTATTGTTCTTCCTTTGTATGATCAGTTCTGAAATTGTTTATTTGAACTCAGAGATTGCACTTACTCTAGGAAAGCACTACATTGGCAGTTCTTCCCTGCACACAATGCACAGGGCAGTTACTGGCACATCAAATGGCCCCAAAGCAATTCCAAAGGTGCAAAAGTAGCTCACCTTACCCTACACAAACCTGCAACCCACAAACAGCACTAATTTGAGGATCTGGGTCTAAGTTCCTGAAACAAAAGCATAGCAACTGTCCATCAGCAGGTAGTTGGAATCAATTGTCTTTGAAACTTAGGATGGCAGAATTTCTCTCCAGTCACTTAATTTCCAAGTTTTTACCCAGTGAATGAAAAAGGGATTGGTTCATAGCAACCCCAACAGTAAATTAATGCTCAATTCCAACTAGGGCTCAAACCTTTTTAACTCTGGAATGAAACAGTAAGACTTACTAAAACAAAGCACTGACCAGTCAGGCAGAAATAAAAGTTATTATTATCTTGTTTATTAGATCACCTTTGGCCAAAATTTGAAAGATGAAGAAACCTTATCTCAATCCAATTTTGTTTCCAAGTTGTCCGAGGTTGTCAGAACAAATTAACATAGGATACACATTGCTCACTAGCACATACACTACCCAATTACAGTAAACTCTTCATCTTTTAAGAAAGCCAGAGACTTCAAAATCCAGAACTATAGACCCTATGACTTCAAAAACCAAAGATAAGGAAATCCGTATTTGAAATGCCGCCAAAGTGAAGCTAGAACAGATGGACAAATTAGCTCTGCTGCTGCCAAATTACTAGCACAAAGGGGTGAGCTACAGAAAAAGCACAACTACCCCTGGGACTCTTCAGTAAATTCTCAAAGTAATCACTACTATAGCAACTCACCTTAGTAAAACAGCAGCAGTATTCTTATTTTTCAAACACACAATCTAAACCTGAGAATTTTATACAACTTTCACTTTGCAGTTACAGGCAAGTTTTTGCACAACAGGTATTGCAAACCCGAGCAGACAATTTCTTTGCAAATATTTCTACAGAGACAGATAGTATCTTTATTGCAAAACAATACGAAAGTTATGTCAAAGAGCAAATCAAGGAGTTTGTAAACTTAGTTCATGTTTCCAAAATATAGTTTGCTTCTCTAGCATTGCCACTACTGCTAGGGCCAATGGTAGCTCAGTTGTGGAGATGCTCTCACAGCCTTTTGGTGTGCCATTTTTCTCCAGGCCATAGTTTGAGAACCTCTGCAGTAGAAGTGTTAGAGGATGTTTTGGGATTAGGTTATCCATGAGCCACTGGTGACACTGATCTTTGGCAGTAACACATTCACAGTGCTATCTCTACATGTTTTTTAAAATATCTAGCAAATACCTGGAAGAGAAACAGGTCTGACAAGTGTCACTGTGCGCATAATTTTACATCAACTATGATGCTGATAGGCTTTACGTATGCTGCTATTCAAGTCAGTAATACTACGAAAACCCTTCCCCAAAGAGGTATTAAGGGATTAGGGCCACTAGGTTCACATCTACAGTTTAGTCACTGAATCCTTAGTTAGGAGATGGAGAAATTTCTGTGGTTTCTGTGGAGTACCTCAAATGTTTTCCTTCCTCCCTTCTCTTCTGTTTGACATGACAACACAAATTGTCTTTAACTGCTTCAAACTCCTTCTTCCTCACCTGCCACTCAACATACCTATTACTAATATCCTGTTGTTCATGGCAAGAGTCTTCCTTCTACAAGTCTCCTTCCTTCCCGTGCTCTAATCAAATTATTGCACAGCACTTTTTTCTTCCGAAGACTGCATTTCTTTAGCAGTTTTCGTTGCCACTGAGCAGTGCTACAACTGGACTTATTTTGACAAACATTGATTTAATACACAAATAAGATAGCTGCAACATTTCCCAGCCCTAGACAAAGTAAACAACAGAAGTGTTAAAAAACACTTAATGTAGAAGCTTAAGAAGACACCACTACCAATTTTATTATCTGACTCTCAGAAAAAAATTAATTTCCCGATAGCATCTCCTCTCCCCCAAAAATATGCAATCTAGCTAGTGAGAAGCAAAGCAAAAGTGCTACACTAAGAGTACCAGAGCAGAACAAGTTTCTCTTTTGAAGGAGGGATGAATCACGCACAATTACAGAAGTCATCCACCAACCTATTCATCCAGAGAAAATAGTTTGATGATCTCATTACATTTTATCAAGTCAGTCTCAAGTTTCTTCCAGCTTGTTGAGATTAAGAGCTCTCAAAAAAAAAAAGTCTCCAAAATAAGTTTTAATAACTGCTGAAATTCAAAACTGAATAATATTAAAACAAGTCATATTAAAAGAAAAAAGCGAGTTCAAAACTTGAAATCAAGGCTTTGCATACAGACAGACAAACCTTTCACCTGAAGGAAGGGGGAATGCTCTTTAAATGAGGGTTCCTGTAAACTTAGTGACTTCATTTTATATAAATATTTTCAGATATTTACCATTACAAAGAACACAAGTTCCACTTTTCAAATTGAATCTCCAGTTCTGCTCACAAAGTTTCCACCCGAAATTCATATTCTCCCACAATTTACTGACCTCAGATACTTCCACTGTGACCATAAAAAGTTTCTCCAGCTACGAGCGCCGTGGACAAGGAAATAAACAAAACAAAGGCAGGAGCATCACACACCTCCCACTGCTAGCCTGTCCTAGCACCTCTCAGTTAAAGCAAGATACTGAATTTTCTTCAATTTAAACTTCACTTTCAGCTGTTTCTGTTTGGAAGCATCCTATGGAGGTCCTCTGCTTTGCAAAGCCTTAATTAAAAATGCAAATTAGTTCCCCCGCAGAGACTCCAAAGCGATGGAGCAAGGAGTGGGTGGGTCAGGCGCTTTTTTTGAAGCCCAGCCTTGTTTTGAAGCCTGCGAGAGCGGCCGCCAGGGAACGAGCCCGAGGGCCCATCGGCAGGGAGGAGGGCAGCAGAGGTCAGCTTCGTCTCCGGGCGCCTGCCTTTCTGCCCGGTCAGCCGGGAAAGCCCCACGCCCACCGCCCCCTTCCCGCACGCGCTGGCTTCCTCCTCCGAAGCTACGTCCCG